CGTTCACTTGTTAATAGTCCAAATATAAGAAATTATCGATGTTTATTAAATGAAAATCCATCAAGTTCATTTTGTCTCAATGATCAAATTGTTAATTTAACCAGTCTATTAAATGAATTCGATCAAGATTTTAAACAAACACAAATTGAAATCAATCATGAACAAGATGAAATTAAGAATTTATCAAGACGTGCACAAAAAGAATATGAACGTGTACGTGAACAAGTTAAATTAATGCAAGATTTTGCTGATGATATTGATGCATTCTCAGCTAATTTAACACAACAAAGAAATGATGATCCAACTTATATAGTTAATCTTATTGAGAGGTAAATTTTAATAGAAAAATCATAATTATCACTCTCCCTCCAGGGATTGTTTTTGATCCGTTGCAGATAAAACTCTGATAACTTTACTAGGATATGTATCTCTTATATTGTCTTGTTTTTTTGTTAATAGAGTTTACGCAACTATTGATCGATTTGAACTTGAACCTGAACAAAGTGTAATAAAAAATTCCAGTCAATTATCTTCTCAATTACATACTTATCTTCAATCATTAAATAATGACCTTAGTAATCATTTAAATGAAATTGATAAACTTAATAATCAAACATTTCATTTTGAACAACGTACAATACAAATGGAAAAACATATTCAACAAGCTTATGAAAAACTTCAACGTGTATCACAACAAATTACAACACTCGATAATACAATAAAATCAATACGTACAATATTAAAACAAAGTTCAGGATTAAACGAAGCAACAAATATAAAATTATCGAATACAACACAATTATTACAAAATGACTTAATGATAAATTTTAATCAATTAAAAATGATCTATCGTCAAACATTAACAAATGCAGATAATTTAAATGGTTCCATACAAATTTTACTTTCAGTCGTTAATGAAACAATTGAACAAAATCGTCTTGTTCATATAAGTGTTCGACAAGTATTTAATTATGTACAAAATTTAACAGAAACATCCGAACGTTTAGATATGTTATATGAAAATATGAAACAACAAAATAATGTTACATTATTAACTGTATTTGTTTATAAAAATATAATTGATACAGTTAATTTAGTCGATACAACTTCAACTGAATTAGCTAAAAATCTTTCAAAATCACAAGAACATATTGCTCAACAACGACAACGTATTGAGAAATTAGGAAAAGAACGATTAGATCAACCATTATTATTATCATTTGAAACAGAAATTAAATTAAATCTAAATGATGAACAACGTTTAGAACGTTTAGAACGTTCAGCTGAAAGTTATCGTCAATCATTAAGTACAAGTGAAAAATTATTACCAGCATATAATTTACGTATTGGTGAATTAAAATCAACAGCTGATAATGTTGAACCACATTCAACACGTATGTATGATGATAGTCAAGCAAAAACAAATGAATTTGCACGTTTACGTGAAAAAATTCTTGCGGAAAAACCTATGAATGCATCAACATTAAGTGATCGTCCATTACAAATGGAATTTAATGATATTAAACAATCGATTCAACGTATGAAAACTTGGGAATCAGATACAGATCAACAATTAAGTAAAGCAAAATATCGCTATGATGAAACAATAAATACTCAAGATAATATAGCTGATATTATAGCTGATATTCGTCGTCTTGTTGATGAATCACGTTCAATTGTTAGTTCTGTTCGTGTTGGAGCACAATTTAATCGTACAAGTGGTGTTAATTTACATAAACCATATAGTAAATCTTATGTTAATTTAAATAAACAACATTCAAAATTAGCACTTTCATTTCGTACAACTGAATCTGATGGATTATTAGCGTATGCTGGTAATGAAAATGATGATAGATATATGTCATTAAGACTTAATCAAGATGGACAAATTGAATTTACTTATGATGTTGGACAACAACGACCAACATCAATCATAACACCAAGATCATTTATTGATAATCAATGGTATGATGTTACAGGTGAAAGAATTGGTTCACATGGTCAACTTACTGTTGTTGATATTAATGGTACAGATGTATTTGTTGGTACAAGTGATGCTGAAAGTGGTGGACAATCTATACTTGATTTACATGATGAACGATCTGTATTTTTAATTGGTGGTGTACCATCACAAATATCTTTGAAACAAACTTATCCAGCATTTTCTGGTTCAATATCAAATGTACGTCTTGATGATCAAAGTGTTAGTTTATGGAATTTTCAATCGGCTATGAATTATAATCAAGGTTCAATACCATCAATAATTCATCGTGAATCTGTACCTGGTTTTAGTCTTAAAGGTGATGGTTATGCAATATTTTCTAAACGACGTTTACGTCGTCTTGAACATTCATTTGTCTTAACAATTATATTTAAAACAAATGCACCCAATGGTCTTCTATTTACATATGGTGGTGGTGATTTTGAAAAACGTTTTTTTGCTGTACAAATTATTGATTCACATCCAGAAATTCTTATTAATACAGGTAGTGGTCTTGTTAGTTTACGTCTTGAAGATAATGTTCATGATAATCAATTACATCGTTTACAAATAAAAAAACAAAATACAGAAATCATTGTACAACTTGATAATCAATTATCGGAATCAATAACTGATCGTGATGAAGAATCACGTATTGAAGGTGGTAATGATGATATTTATGTTGGTAAATATATTGGACTAGATTCATTACGTGATACAATAACAAGTCGAGGTTTTAGTGGTTGTATACAATCAATTCTTATTGATCGTATTGAATTAACATTTAAATCTGAACATTTTAAACGTAGTGAAAATATTCAAACAACATGTTCTATTGAACAAATTTTACGTACAGTACAATTTAATTATCATTATGATCAAGAAAGTTATGTTGAAATATCAGATAAAAATTTAACAATACCATGGGCTATAACAGCACGTTTTCAATCAAATCAACAAAATGGTACATTAGTATATATGAATAATGAAAATGACAATATCGATAAATTAATAATTTATTTTGAATTCAATCATCTTATGATTAAACATAAAGATTTACCAATAATACAATGTGAAAATAGTTTATCAACGAATTGGTGGAATTATATAAGTATTTATCGTGATACACAATCATATCGTTTATATTTAAATGATACAGAATGTGGTAAATTAGATATTGAAAGTGAATATAATGATTATCAATTATTTAAAACAGTATTTATCGGTGGTGTACCACAAAATGTATCAGAAGATACACAACGTTTCTTTGGATGTATTGGAGATGTTAATATAGATGGTTCATTAGTTAATTTTAATAATGTTGTTAAATTAAAAAATACGGAACAAAATTGCCCAACCAATGCATTTACTAGTAATAATAATAACAATAATAAATATAATAATAAAGGATCAGTAGTTTATCCACCATTTGAGTATAATGCTACGAAACCAACATCTTCTGATAGATTTCAATTAAAATTACTTCAATTTAATGATGATTTCAGTAATTATAGTATAAATAGTTCTATATTACCATCGATTGATTTACTTACGCCTTCAACTATTCAAATTAAAAATGAAACAAAAGTATCGAATGATGATGATGATGACGAAGAAGATGATTATTCATCTCGTCAACATCGTTCATGTAATTTACCTATGAAACCTTCGAATAATCGTGGTCAAGATATCGGCTATAGATTTGGTGATGATCATCGAGAAAGTCGTGGACAAATAACAATATCAGAACCATCAACTAGTCTATCAATGAATATTTCATTTAAATTTCGAACACGATTTACACATGGTTTATTATTCTATTCAGGCAGTAATGGTAAATATTTTATTTAAAAACTGAACTTTTTCTTTGATGATTTTATTTAGCTTTTGATTCTTCAATTTTAAATGAATTCATTGCTGTATGGTTATATAAAGGTCGATTAGTTTTTGCGTTTGATTGTGGATCAGGTAAAGGTGAAATTGAAAGTATCAATCGAATCAATGATGATCAATGGCATCGTGTTGATGTTATAAGACATGGAAATAATGCAACTTTATATATTGATTCACATTCCGAAGGTTTTATTATTCCACCAGGTTAATTATTATTTAACTTCTAATAGAAAAATTAATAAAATTATTTGAAAATTTTAGGTACAAAACTATCTTTAGATACAGATGGAATATATTATTTTGGTAATATACCATCGGATGAAACATTTCTTTTAAATCGTCGTCGTCAATTACATCATTTTAAAACTCGACATAATTATCTTCAATTTCAAGGTTGTTTAAGTACAATACAAATTAATAGTCAAGCAATAACATTTGATACAAACGTTAACAATGAGTATAATTATAATATAAAAACATGTTATGAATTTGAAGAATCAGGAGTTTTTATTAATGGAGAAAAAGAATTAATACTTGGTATGAAAAAAAAAGAATTATGATTTTCTTAATAAATAATTTTTTTGTTTCTATAGAAAATTCATTTCGTCTTGGTCAACGATTCAATATTTCATTTCATTTTAAATCTCGTGTTAAAAGTGGTCTTCTTTTGGCTGCAACAAATACTAATGAAGATAATTATTTATTTATTTATCTTGATAAAGGTAATATTGTTGTGACATTATTACAAAATAATATTGATGAAATTCATGTTGTTCATTGGCCAAATGATAATAATGATAATGAAATGTGTGATGGTCAATGGCATACAGTTGATATTCAAAAAGATCTAACATTTATTCGTTTACATGTTGATAAATATGATGCAGATGAAGAATTATTATTAAATGATTTTGATTTAAATACTAATGGACCATTATATATTGGTAAAATGAATAAATTACCACCTATTGTTGATGATATACCTGTATATATTGGTTGTATAACAAATATGAAAATAATTGCCATTGATAATGATAACGATGAACATAATTCAATTCGACATGCTAAAGCACTTCATTCAATTGATGGAATTGAATATTCATGTCCAATAAATTAAATTAAAACAAACTTTTTCCATTAGATAACGTGTCTCTTTTCTGTTCTTTTAAAAAACCCGAGGAAAATTGTAGATTAAGGATTGTATTTGTTCGATTAAAAAATAATAAATAATACTCAGGAATCATAATTATTTGTCGTATAGCAAATAGAGAATTTTACTGAACAGCTGTTAGCTATCTCATGCTCAAGATTATCAAAAAAAAAGTAAACAGTTTTGATACTTTGATTGTAAAATTATTATTCGCTGCACAGATTCCAAGTATAAAGTGTCAAAATGTTATAAAAGTCTGCTTCTTGTAATACTCTTGAATGTAGTTTCTAAAAGTTCGTCATGTTTAGGGTGCGGCGGTTCCATAAAAATGGAACCGAAAACCGAACCGGAACCGCGGTTCCGGTTTTTTTTAGGAATCGCCGTACTCTAGTCATGTTGCCACTAACTGAAACTAGTTCTAGAGTCTTGTGTAAAATCATTTTTACGCTTTCGTTTGAAATTAAGAACAGTTTATCTATCATAATATTTTATTTACTCCTTATTTTTTTAAATGAAGTAATATTTCGAGAAATTATTTTATTCAATTGTCATCGTTAGACTTAAATTATGTATTTAGAAGGAAAAAGAATTTTAATTTTCAATTTAATTAATGTTCATTTAAAATTTATTTTTTATTGTTAAACAAGTGACATGACCTGATGATGTTAAAAATACCATCAATTATGAAATAATTCTAAACTAATTCATTTTTTTGTATAAATAAATGAATAGACGTTAATAGTTCTGAAGAGTGTGGGTGTGGGTATTATATTCGTCTCGCACCTACATCCTATTATTGAAAACAATGTTAGTTATTTACCTCATGATAGTTATATACCCACATAATATTTATTAATAATACTTTATTTTGTGTATTAGAAAATATAGAAGTATTTGAATGAAACTGTCCTAAGACATGCATTAATAATTCTTCAATAGTCAACATCATATATATATTCAATCGAACATTTACCAAAAAAATGATTTTTTCATATCAACAGGCCATAAAAAGATAAGTATATAAACTTTTATCTTGCTTTACGTTAAAAAATACAACTTATATTTAATCGAGTACACTTGAATATAAAGATAACGTATTTTTGTTATCAGTTTTGTCATAAGACTCAAACGACTTTAGCGACATCATTTCTTATTTGCTCGCTAGTTTCTCTTTTTCGATACTATACTTAACGTACAAACATCGAAATCAAATAATGATTATTTTATTATAATAAGAATATTTTCGATTGAGGCTTACATTTTCTCGTAATAATCATATTTGTTTGGTTCGTAGAATGAAGAATTCAAGCCAATAAAATGATACTATAATGATCCATATTATATTATTCTATGGACGAAAAATACTACTAATAGTAACACCTGCGTATGTACGAAATAAGTAAAAATAGCTTTGTGTAATCGACTCACGTGCTTACATATCTCTCCTTGTTGTTTTATAATCATAGAAAAATACAAAGCATTTGTCAATTATATTTTTTTTAAGATCTAATAATCAATTAAATTTTTATATACTATCTTACTTTGTTCTGTAAAGAACACGAGGTATTATGCCAAACGAAACAGCCATATCGAATCCTACCAGCTGTCCAGCTTGGCAACAATCCTCAGCAACAACAAATTCAAATACTAATACAATTGATACACCACCTGATTCTGCTATTTTACCGGTAAGATATTAAAGTTATTAATTATTTTTCATATATTTTGAAAACCATTACAGCCAAAAGATTGGCCAAGTCTTGCTGAAGCAACTGATGAACAAGTAGTTTCATCACAACCAAATACACCTCGAACACGTAATAGAAAGGGTAAGAGAAATTAGAAAGAAAATCGATTCTATTCTAAAGCTTTTATCTTAGGTAAACAAAAATGGGTTCCATTACCATTCGATAATACTGAAGGTGATACAACAACAACAGTACCACCAACTACTCCTCAGGCTAACACAAAATCAGGTACATCAAAAGGAAATCGTACTGGTCGAAATGCTCGTAATGGACGTGGTGGTAATCGAAATCGTACACGTAGTCTTGATGGTGCTACACCTAAACGAAATCGAAAGAATCGACCAGCAGCGACTGCTTACAATAATGGGTATCAAGATTATTATGCTTACTATTGTATGTTATAATAATAGAGATTTCAGTCTGAAAATGGTTGTTTTTTTCTTTGTTTAGATTACGATCCAAATGGAAATGCAGTAAAATGGTATCCTGATAAACAGGGTAAACGAAAGAAGAAATCTGAAGGGTTAATTGGTACTGAATTAACTGAAGAAGGAACAGGTAAAATATCATTTTGACATCTGATAGATAAGTGGAAACATAAATCTAAAATATTAAATCTACTTAATGAATAAGTGATGAATGATGATATTATAGTTGTACTAGAAGGAACTGATTTGTTATGTTATCTATTAAATTCATCATTCAAATTTTGTACTAATCTAATAATACGCATTATCCATTTCTATTACATTATGTGCTGAAAAATTTAAAGTACGTAAAATATATGAAATGTTGAAGTTTATAAAACACGATTGATATGAAAAATATACTTACTATAAGCACATAAGAATTCATATATATATACATCTGTATACAGAAAAAATAATTGTCTTATTATATACTTACTAATGAAATTCGCTTTCGGCTTATTCCAGGTACTACTAATAATCAAATACGCGATGTTCATAAATTTATATTTGATGATGAAGCTGTTGTTGTTGATGATTGTTCTTTTGTATTACCCTATATCGAAAGTACTTATTATTATCAACCGACAACTCCATCGCCAACTTCAGACATGTCTTTAACTAATTCTAATGAATATGCAAATTCGCTTATACCTGCTTATACTGAACAACAATTAAAAGAGCTTCTACGACATCAAGTGTAATTATTTATTCAAAAAAGCAAAAATTTCATTTAGAAAAAATTATTTTTATTTTATTTTTAGTGAATATTATTTTAGTCCAGAAAATCTTGAAATTGATATATTTCTTCGACAACAAATGACTAAGGATGGTTATATACCACTTTCACTTATTGCAAATTTTAATCGTGTTCGATCCTTATGTGATAATGTTCATTCAATAGCTGATGTTAGTTTATAATAAATTATTATTTTCTTTTTTAAAAAATAAATTAATCTATTTTCAGGCAGTTCAAGATAGTCGTGTTGTTGAACTCAATGATCAATGTATGATACGCTGTCGAATTGAACCAACTCGATGGCCAATAATAGTTGATACAAATAATCATTTAATAGAATTGAATCCGGATGTTCCAGATTTTCAACCAGGGAAAATATGGAAAACAGAAAGTCAAAGTATGAAAGATGAATCAAATGTATTAGAGAAAGACGATAAAAGTGAACTTAATTGGAATCAAGTATCAGCGAAAAGAAAAAAACCAATAAAGAAAAAGGTTTTAAATTAATTTATAAATATTTAACTTTAATAGTTTATTATTATTTATTTATTTAGGAAAAAAAAGAACAACAAGCTCAAATTGTACCATCAGAAGACGTATTAAAACGAGATAGTCGTGAAGAATTAGATTTTCAATTTGATGAAGAATTACCAAATAAACAAGCAAATGTACTAACATTTGCTCCACAAAATCGACGTCGAACTACATCATTAACACTAGATTTACATGAAGCAAAGTAGGTCAATTTGTTTTTCTATGAGATTGTTTTTTTCTTACTATTTCTATACGTATTTTAGTCAAGATGAAGATTCAGATTTTGAATTAGATGATAATGATATTAGTAAACTTCTTATCATAACACCAACACCACCATCAAATCGTAAACATAATGCGAAAAATCAGGAACATACTGGTGAATTTACACCACGAGCACGAATGACAGCTGAAATAGCTAAAATTATTAATGATGGTTTGAGACGTTATGAAGAAGAATTATGGCATCATGATCGACCAAAATCAGGCGTAGAAAAAACAGTGACACTAATAAGTCAAGATGAAATGAATGCTATAAGAAACAAAGCACAGAAAAGTGCTGGAAAGAAAAAAAATACTAATACAGGTGAAATAACAAATCAAAATACTCAAGTACAAACTGAAAAAGGTAAATATCTAATAAGAAAGCTTTTAATAGTATTCAATTAATATACGTTTCTATCTTTTTAGCAAATACTACATCCACTGCAACTAATAAAAATCAACCTCGTAGTCCAGCTATTGCTATTGTTCGCTCAAATAATTGCCCACCACCACAACTTGAACCATTCTATCGTCCAAAACATTTACCTGGTGCGAACCAACAAAATGTATCACATCCATCAACAAACGATTGTGTATCACATTCATTACCAAATAATCTACGAAAACAAAGTGACAGTAGTCCGATTGTACCACTTCCGTCAATAACGGATATCAATGATAAAAATCAAGTATCTGACAATCATCCTGAAGAACCACGAACACCTCATTCACGTGCAAAAAATATTGCTCGATTCTATCCAGTTACCAAAGATTCATTGGTTGTTAAAGCAGATGTAAAGATTAAAAAATATTTTTTATTTTTTGATATATATTAAATTAAAATTTTTAGACACCTGGTTTAAAACGTAAAACACGTCATAGTGAACATCCACCGGTGGAAAGTTCAGTTGGTTGGGTATTTGATTCGCGTGATCATTTAACTACAAGACAACGAAGCAGTACAACAACTAATGCACCGTAAGGAATTTTTGTTTTTATCTCTCTACATATTCGTTTGATGTGAACTTAATTCTAGTAGTAGTCGACAACAAGATTTCTATGATCAATATCCATCATCATATAATGATTCACATTATTGGTATGGTAATAATCCAAATTCATATGATTTTTATGGTTCAACACCGGTAGAAATTCCTCAATTTCAACATCCATCTCATTCACTTTTGCAACAAAATGGTTTTACTCAACAAGTTTATAATAAATATAAACAACAATGTCTTGATGGTAAAAAATAATGAGTTATTCATAGAATAATATTTACAAAGATATTAATTTTTTAGAACGTACTAAAGTTGGTCTTGGTCAATCCATGGAAATGAATACACTCTATCGTTTTTGGTCATTTTTTCTACGTGAAAAATTTAATCGTCGTATGTACGATGAATTTAAGCAATATGCTGTTGATGATGCAAAAGTTGATCATCGGTATAGTTATATTTGTTTATTTCAAAATTCGATTTTATTTTTCTATAATATAGTTATGGTGTTGAATGTTTATTTCGGTTTTATACATATGGTCTCGAGAAACATTTTCGTCAAGAAGTTTTTGAAGATTTTCAACGTGAAACTCTTCGAGATTATGAAGCTGGTAATAAGAAAAATGAAAAATAGAAAAAAAAAGAATTCAAATCATCTTTCTATTTTAGGTCAATTATATGGTTTAGAAAAGTTTTGGGCTTTTCTAAAATATTCTCGACAAAAACCAAAAATTAATCCAAAACTTGAAGAAATTCTCAAGAACTTTAAACGTCTGGAAGATTTTCGTGTTGATGGTGCTTCATTTCCACAACAATTCTATCCAACTAAATCAGGAATTATAGTAAAAGAAAATTTTTTTTTATCTGATCTTAACTAATTGTTTCTTTTTCATCAGACTGTTCCACCACCGGAAGCAGTTGCTGCTGCAGCAGCAAAGAACAGTGATACAACAAATTCATTGAAAACAACTGGTGAACATTTTCCAACTCGTCATCGTGGTCAACCACGACAACCGAATCGTCGGACAATCTCCGAACGTTGTTAAAATTCATGGATTTCAATTGTCTCCTCAAAACGGTGCTCGTATTTGTTTTTTTTCTTTTTCTTCTACTTTGTTTTTGTTCAAGTGGGTTTCGGTTTGTTTAGAGTATGCATGTTCTTCTTTTTTTTTTCTTTCTTTCAAGTTTCTTGTTATTTAAAGCTTTTTTTTTATGTATATATATTGCATTGGTTTGTTCTTGTAGTGGATAGATAGATTAAATAGTGATGCATTTTCGTATCAATGAAGATATGAATTTTCATGCCTTCTCTTTTTGTTTTGAAGGTATTTGCTAATAAACAAAACGTATTGAAAGAAAAAATAAATTAGATAACCCACGGCTTTTTGTGTTGTCTTTTAGAAGAAATAGGAATATGGCTTCATCACGTTTATTTAATAATATTGGTAATAGATTACTGAGCGTTTAATTTTGATAGGTAATATTCGATGTTTAGGAAGAATTGGTATTGGAATAGCATTAGCTGGTGGAATTGTTAATTCTATGCTTTACAATGGTAAGGAAATTATTCCTCATGCTTTATATTTCATAGACGCGTACACAAGAAATCGACATAATTATATTTCTAGTTGATGGTGGTCATCGAGCTGTTATATTTGATCGTTTTCAAGGTGTTAAACCAATTGTAATTGGAGAAGGAACACATTTTATGATTCCATGGCTTCATAGACCGATTATATTTGATATCCGTACTCGACCACGATCTATTCCATCTATAACAGGAACAAAAGGTATAAGAATAGAGACATAATAAATTCTATTCCATCATCTCTATCATAGATTTACAAACAATTAATATTACTTTACGTATTCTTTATCGACCACAAGCTGAGGTTCTACCAAAAATATTCACAAACTTAGGTTTAGATTATGAAGAACGTGTTTTACCGTCAATTACTAATGAAGTTTTAAAATCTGTTGTCGTAAGTTAATGATTATTTATGTATTTTTGACTCTATCGAGTGAAATGATTAGGCTCAATTTGATGCTATTGAATTGATTACACAGCGTACACTTATATCACAACGTGTAAGTGAATTATTGACGGAACGTGCTGCACAATTTGGTTTATTACTTGATGATATTTCAATTGTAAGATATTAACAAATGAAAATGATTATATTTAATTATTCATTTATTTTAGACGCATTTAAGTTTTGGACCTGAATTTACAAGTGCTGTTGAATTAAAACAAGTTGCTCAGCAAGATGCTGAAAAACAAAGATTTCTAGTTGAAAAAGTAAATATATAAACTAAATTATATATTATACCATAATCTATTCTAATCAAAAAATAAACAGGCTGAACAAAGTCGTCAAGCAAATGTTATTGCAGCAGAAGGTGATGCTCGTGCTGCTGATTTGATTGGTAAAGCTTTAGGTGAAGCTGGTGATGGTAAATTTTTAAATATATAGATTTATTTTTTCATTGAGTTTCATATTTTTATTTAGGTTTGATTGAACTCCGACGAATAGAAGCAGCTGAAGATATTGCTGGTCAATTAGCTAGATCAAGAAATATCGTTTATCTACCACATGGACCTCAAATGTTACTTAATATTTCGGGTGCTGCTCAATAGAATTAAATAGTTTTTTGTATGCGTGTGTGTGTTTCTAAACTATTAGGAAAAAAAGTGAAATATTTTGTTGTTATTTTTTTCAAACAAAACCCTCAATCTACAATTCTTTAGATGTTATTAAAAGTTCGAGTACGATTGAAATAATGAATTTTGATACTCTCTTTCGGCGTTTTATATTGACGCAATCATTTGTTCGTGGTTGGGGAAATCCATCACATTTACAAGAAATTTTTAAATTTCGAAGAGAAAAAATTGGTGTAAGAAATGAATGTTTAAAACTTGTACCAGCTGAAAGTGTACAAGAAAATACTATTGAAATTATTAAACAAGAAACAAAAGGTGATCTACAATACTTAAATGGTCGATTTCGTTCACCACTTGCGGATTATTTACCAAATTTAGTATGATATGAATAGATTTTAATAATTTTATATAGATTATTTATCTTCGTAGGTTTCACCAGAAATAGCAACAGCTCATTTTCAACTTGTTTTACCACGTAATCATCGTATTGGTATTGATTCTATACCAATAGGTATTTGTTATGCTGGAACAGGTGATCAAGGTTATGGACGACGAAGATTACTCACTGCTGTACCATTAATTAATCAATATCGTATAGGTACAATTCTTCTAGAAAATCCATATTATGGTTTCAGAAAACCGACTCTTCAATCTCGTTCATCATTGTTCTATGTAACTGATTTATATATTATGGGTAAAGCACTTATTTTAGAAACAATTTTATTACTTCATTGGTGTCAAAAAATGAAATTATCACCGGCTATTTTACATGGTTATTCTCTTGGTGGACATATGGCTTCATTAGCATTCACAAAGTAAGAGAGCCAATCTTTATTGATACATAATTCTAAAATGTACTAGTGAGAAAGTGTTCTATCAAAAATAAAATGTAGTTCATTCATTTCACTAATAGGTTAATTTGAATTTTTTAGTTGGCCTGGTCCACTTTCTCTTCTATCTTGTGCATCATGGTCATCAAGTTCAACAGTATTTTGTGATGGTGTACTTTCACGAACTATTCCATGGGCACTTTTCAAAAAACAATTCTACGAAAATAAAGCATATCAAACATTTTATGATTATTTATGTTCACAAAAAAAATCGACAAATTCAGATACAATTATTAGCGATCCTATTAAACATATGATGCGTCTTCTTATGGATGAATTTACATCTTTACAAAACTATTCACGTCCAGTTGAATCCAATATAAATAATGCTCTATTTGTTGCTTGTGCTAATGATGGATATGTATTACGTGATGGTATTCCACATATGAATGATGTATGGCCTGGTTGTCATATTCGATATATTCCACGTGGACATATTAGTGGATTTCTATTCAATCAATCTGGTTTTCAACATGCTATTGCTGAAATGTTACAACGACAAGAACCAAATGTAAAACTAAAAAAGAATCCAATTGTATCACCAATCTCTGTTACAACATCTTCAAATTCATAAAGTATTTATTTATTTTGTTGTTTTTGTGTTTATAGATCAGTTAAACGAATGTAAGCTTTTGATAAAATATAAACTAGAAAATATAACAATATTTCTTTTCACTATGATTTGTAACTAACAAACAATATATTGATTTTTCGAATATTTATTTATTTTTATTTATGCAATAAAATTTTATTGAGGTTATAAGCGATAGAACTCGACTAAAATGTAAATATAATAATTAGCTGCGATCAATAGGTTGTCAATTATGATTTCAAATTCGATTGATATGTGTGAACAATGCATTCAGAGTAACCTTTGAGTTCGTTTTCCCAAAAGTATTCAATAAAAATAACTAAGTAAATTTAATTTAATAACATAATGACTAGTTAATAAAAGAATTTCATTTTCTTCTTGTGTACCTTTTATGAAATTCTATACTTTTTAATGGAAAATAATCTATTATAAATGTATGTAGTATACGACAATGATAGATACATTTGTAGAATATGATTAAATTGTTCATATAATATTAATAAGCGATTCAATTAATGATTCATCATCAAGATTTATTTAATGATATAATACAGAAAATAATGGGCAACAAATACAAATATCTTTTCTCGACTACATAAATCAAGAATAGTTGTATAAAAAGAAACAATTCAACGACATTGATCAATAGTTTTTATTTCTCCAATATTGTTTATAGCAAAATAAGGTGTTGTACCAAGCCGACTAATTATTGGATGTTCAAATAAACTTAATAAATATGTACTCATTGTTGACATACCAAAATATAGTAAAACTTCATTTGGCTAAATTAAAAAAAACAAAAGAAAAATCTAAAATATTTTATTTGAAAGAATTCATTTGAATGCATAAATAAATAATATTATTAAACAGAGCTTGTGAATCACATTGATTATCAATAGCTAAAAATGATATTTGCTTTATCATACTCTTCTTCATGAATTATCATTTTCAAATATATAAACACGAATAAATCTTTCAAAACAAAAATTTAATTAAATAGTTATCTAGAAGTAATGATATATAATTTTATAGTATTTATAAACAGATCGAGAAATTTGATATTGATAGCTTTTGCGTCTTTTTTTTCTTTTTATAAAATTATGAAACTTCTTTCTTTCTTCTATTTTGTTTGCATACGTGTAACCTAGAGAAAGAAATGTAAACATCAAGCCATGCTTAGTTGCTTTCATCATAGTAGCTCATAACGTTAGATCTCCTTCGAAAATGACGACATATGCGATTGAAACTGATAGAAAGAGACTATAAAAGAATGATGATGCAGTATATTGAGTGAAAGCAAAAAATGATTGTTTTTATTACTGTTTATTTAAAAAATGTGGTTGGAAGTTCTACTAACGCCAATGAAAAATATTAAAACCTCGAAATTTGTCTTGTGAAATAAAGAAAAGATTATGTTTCTAGTTGTACACTGTAGGATAAACTTTCAAAAAGAAATATTGACTTTTGATAATTATTGATAAAATAGTTTGAATAAGTCAATTTTATGAAAATTGTTTGCTCTTTTGATTAGAAACCTTAATATAAATTTGAATTAAGATTTTACTTCATGGTATCTCTTAGTTGTTTTGTAAAACCTTACACCCCAACATTTAGCAAAACTTATAATAAATTGAATATATGTTTTTGAGCTTAGACACACAATGACACCTTGCTCATGCTTTTTGTAAATATTTATTTTTGTTTTCAAGAAACAGAGAAGAGTATATTTTATGATTTTATTTTTATTCAAGCACAAAATTATAAAAAAAATACCAAAAATAAAAATCAAAAATACATAAGAGTAAATAAATAGAAAACAAAAAATAAAAGAAGTTAACAAAAAAAAGAAGCTAGCTAATTTATAATGTTTTTTTACATTGATGATGGTTGATGGCGATATTAGATTCTTTAGGTAGGTTCCTGGTTGTGCCATCATATGTCCAACAAAGCAAAAATACTACATTTATTCAGCATAAAAATAATTAGAAACAATAATCTCAAAGATCAAGTATGATTGATGAAATACAATATCAACTATAGTCTTTAAACAACACATACCTGATTTAGTTATCTGCCTTACTCTATTATTCAAATATTCTTCTCACTTCGGGGAAGTGATGTACAAACATGCAACTATAATGAATAAATTTATGACAAACGAATAATTTATACGAGAAAGATTCTCTTGAAATATTTTCTTTGATTAAAAGAAAAAACTTGCAGTTCACTAGATCCTGGACCGTCAAACAACAGACGAACAACTCATACCAAGATTCTAATAAAATATTTTGTTCTGTGCCAAGCGAAAACGTCGATCTCACTAAATAGTGCAAGAATACATGCCAAGTGAATCACTGGCACCAAGATTCTAATCAAATATTTTGTTCGGTTCGAAGCCAAGATTTCGAGTTCAATTATGGCGGAGGAACATAGAAGACATAAATAATTCTTACTCAGATTCCATTCAAATATTTTGCTTAGTTTAAAACAAAGATTTCGAGTTCATTACATCGTACTGGGACTCACGGTAAATGATAATCCATATTATCAAGATTCTAGTCAAATATTTTGTTCTGCTCGAAGCGAAAACTTGGAGTCCATCACATGGTGGAGCAACGCACAACAAGCAAATGATTCGTACCACCAAGATTCAATTCTAATATTTTGTTCTGTTCGAACCAGCCGTTTTGAGTTCAGTACATGGTGGAGGAATATACGAGAAATGAATAATTGACAAGACCAAGACTCGATTCTAATATCTTGTTCAGTTCCTGGCAGATATTTTGAGTTCAGTACTTGGTGGAGGAACACATAACAAATGAATAATTCGCACTATTAAGATTGTATTCAAATATTTTGTTCCGTTCGAGGGAAAGAGTTTGAGTTCAGTACATGGTGGAGGAATATACGAGTAATGAATAATTCATAAGAAGATTCTATTCAAATATTTCATTCAGTTCCTAGCAGAGATTTTGAGCTCAGTACATGGTGTAGGAGCACCCAACAAATGAATAATTCATACCAAGATTCTATTAAAATATTTTCTTCAGTTCCTAGCAGAGATTTTGAGTTCAGTATATGGTGTAGGAACACACACCAAATGAATAATTCAATTAAAAGTCTTATCACATATGTTGTTTAGTTCGAAGAAAAGATTTCAAGTTCATTATATGGTGTAGGAACACACACCAAATGAATAATTCAATTAAGAGTCTTATCACATATGTTGTTTAGTTCGAAGTAAAGATTTTGAGTTCAGCACATGGTGGAGGAATATACGAGTGATGAATAATTCATAAGAAGATTCTATTAAAATATTTTCTTCAGTTCGTAGCAGAGATTTTGAGTTCAGTACATGGTAGACGAACACACGAAAAATCAGTAGTTCATATCCAAATTGTATTTAAATCTTTTGTTGAGTTCGAAGCGAAGATTTGGAATCCATTACATGGTGGAGGAACACACAACAAATGAATAATTCAATCAAGAGTCTTATCACATATATTGTTCAGTTCGAAGTAAAGATTTCAAGTTCATTATATGGCGGAGGAACATGCCACAAATGAATAACTCATAATATTAAGATTCTATTCAGATATTTTATTCCGTTCGAGGGAAAGACTTTGAGTTCATTATATGGTGGAGAAACATACCACAAATGAATAACTCATAAGAAGATTCTATTAAAATATTTTCTTCAGTTCGTAGCAGAAATTTTGAGTTCAGTACATGGTGGAGGAATATACGAGTAATGAATAATTCATAAGAAGATTCTATTCAAATATTTTGTTCCGTTTGAAGTAGAGATTTGAGTTCATTATATGGTCGAGGAACATACCACAGATGAATAATTCGCACTATTAAGATTGTATTCAAATATTTGTTGCTTAATGTGAGTCGAAGATGTGAAGTTAGTGAAGTCGATGGAGATCACATGACAAATGAGTATTTAATAGGTTCTAGTCTAATACTGGGATGTGTACTATATCGGTTATGTATGGTGTGCTTAGAAGAAAAACCTCTTTGAAAATGAAGAATGCGAACGTTTGTTGATTACATGATGATGACCACTATTTTCAACACGACGTTGAATTGTCGCACCTTGTATCATGCAAAATACCGCCATTAAAATAATGATGCAGGCAACCATTTTAACCATTTTGTTCATTGTAGTATCTTTTTGTTCGAAGTTGGATGAGAATAAGATATAAATATCGCTGTGTGAATTACAAGGATTTACTTCGGCTTTATATACGCCGATCGTCAAGCAAAAGACAACCTACGAAAAAAAGTTGTTTTTTTTCGTCGTCGGAGATAGACAAAGAGAGAGTATCATATATGGCTGTAGAGAGGGATAAAGATTATTTTTGGCCCGTATACAATGACGCAGAGAGAGGGATTTTTGAGTATATACAGTTGGATAAAGATGTAGACATACTATTTTTAACTCGCATATAGTGACTCAAAAAGGGGTATTTTTGAGTATGCACAATGGATATATGGACATACGCAGTTTATTTTTTAGTTCGTATATAGTGAGTCAGAGAGAGATATTTTTATATCTATAGGTGGATACAGGTATACGCAGTTTATTTTTTTAGTTCGTATATAGTAATGAATCATATTTTATTAAGATAGGAAGAAAAAAATGGGCAATGATGCATGACTGCACAGCAAACAGACAAACGCACATGTTTGCTTAGTCATGATTGCACAAAATTTAATTCAAGGGGTAGTTTATCTCTGTGTTTGTATTATTGTTTTGAGAATAGGATATTATTCATATTATCGTATGAGTTCATGAGAGACAACAGAAATTTATTATTTCTTCTGTTCGTATAAAATAAAAATACAATATATATGACAAAAATGTATATTAGATGTTTATTTAATTATACGAGTTTTTCATCTATTGAAAGATATTTTATATAGAATTCCAAAAAATAACTCAACAAATATAAACTATGTATCTGCAATACAAACAGAAGCCTAAGCATTTATACAATGGAAAAAATAAATGAAAAAATTTTGATATCGTTTATTCTTGACCATAGAAATCAACCATGTTGTTTTTTATCATTCATAAAAAGTGAACGTTACTTGCAATAACATTTGTTTATTAATATAAAATGTAACATATATATTCAAATTTTTCTTTGTTGAATTACTTAATGTAAAATATTTATTGACATGTAGAATAGTTTCTTAGATAAAAAAATAATCGTAATAAAATAAGACTATATATCATATTCCATCTGGAAAAACAAAGATTAAAAGCTTGATTACATGCATCTTTATCACATATATGTAAACATCCACGTAATCGTCGATTTGGATTAATCCAATCAAGTTTAATAAAACCACAATGACTTGTACGAGTGATTCCATTATCATCACCTTCATCTCTACTACATGTTCGATATATATATTGAATAGAATTTGGTTCTATTAAAAATAAAAATAAAAATAAAGTAAATAAATAAGAATTTATTATACCTGGCGAATAAGCAATTAATTTAATACAATGTGTTGCAAGAAAAAGACCTTGACGTCCACGTAAATTAGCTAAACATGGAGTTTGAAGATATGAAGTATTACCTTCTATATCACCCTGAAAGAAATCTTCGCATGATGGATTACTACCATTAACTGACGAGCATTTATAACAAGAAATAGATGATACTAAAATCAGTTTGCTTTTTTTTCTTATTTTCTTTTTAATAAAAAAAAAATGTACACATACCAACATTTATTATTGAAGTTAAAGTTAGTAGAAAATAAAAAGAAAGATTAATCATTATACTTTCTATTCTTTACGATCAAGAAATCATTTACATATATGTATGTCAGTTTTCTTTCTTAGATTTCTATATGATACTAGTGATGATCAATGATATATTTTCTATACTAAGAAGTCTACTAGTAGGATAAGATATATTAATAACATATGATGTATTTCTTCAATCAAATGACAGATAAGAATAACAATAATCAATCTAAGAAAAAAAATTCGTTAGTATATCGAATCTAAATAATCAGAAAAGCTTTTCTTCAGATGTCATTCTGTGTTTTTCAAAAGAAAATATGGATACAATGTTGATAGAACATTTATTATCAATTATATGTACTATTCTTGTGATATGCCAAGATAACGATATATTTGTATCACATCACAACGGATGGTACAAGATAATTGAATATTATAAGAATTGTACAAAATTCTAAGCACAAGATTTTACTATTTATATAGATATAATAGACGATGCATTTGACTATTCATATTTTGCAAAATTCGATCGAAATAAAATGAAAAACACTACTTATTAGTTTTCTCTTAACTATTTAACATAAACATTATATTCGTTGCTTCATAATTCAAACTAGATACCACGACAATGATATTGTAAAAAAAAGAATATTCGTCACAGTTCATTAAACAAATAACAATAATCAAACCTTATTTTTTTCTTTTGATATGTGCATCGAGATAAGAATAAATAAATATCTCCAATTACTGTTAAATATGGAATATATATATTATCAGGATCTCGTTCATGTCTCCATACAAATATTATCATCCACTGAGCAATATATAGAAGAATTATAACCTATTAAAAAATAAAATAGACTTGATTTTTTTTTGTAAAAATAAAAAAAAATATTCTACTTGAATAAGTGCTGCTATAAGATGAAAACAATTAATTGAAAGTCGAGTTTGATCTGTTGCTAATCGTGATATAATAAAACACGTGTTGTTAATGAATTACTTTCTAAAAAATAAATATAAAATAATCAACAATTCAATCAACAAGATCAACAATATACTGGTTGAACAAAATATTTTGTATGGATTAGGAAAATATTTTGAAGGATGATATTGTGTAATCTCTTGAAATTCTCCTAGTTTGCCTTGTTGATGGAGTGTAGTAGATAATCGACTTGCTTGAATAGCTACTAAATTACCAGTATTTGAACAGCAAAATCAAGTATAAGACCATCTACGCTATTTAAAAAATAAACACAAAAAAGATTAAATCGAATTCTATGTATTATTATTATTTACCTTGAAATAAGCATTGCAGCGACAATTCTTTCACATACTCATTTCGAGAAGAAATAATATACCAAGTGTTGTTAAATCACCGAGTGAAGCAGCTATTGATGTAGCAATATTATCAGGATTGATTTTGCATTTATGTACAAATGACAATAACAAAAATCATGATTCTACCTTAAGAAATAAAACAATTAATTGTATGACAGAGAACTCAGTAAGATAACGAAGAAACAGTTATAAAATATTAAAATATTTTTTCAACACATCTATTTATCATTTCATTACTAAAATCAACAAGAGTTATGTGTTGATATATATCGTATTTTTTAATAATCTTTAAAGTGTATTGGCGATAATATCTCTATTATCTTTTAGAATAGATTGCTGATTTGATTCTATACGCAACAAAATGTGAAATATTTCAAAAGATGGATTACAAACCTAATGCTAATGAAATAATTGATGCTGTTGAAACACTACTACTACATAAAACAAGTGAATATCGTAAATTAAAATGGTTTAAAGTACCCATTTTATAGCAAGTGATACAAGAGTTTTTTATCCATATTTCCAATATTAGTCTAAAATTATAGAAATATATATTGAATGCTTTTGAAATAAATTTTAATTACATACTTGTGTAGATAAACGTGATGCTAATGCCAATTCTAAATTTCCTTTTAAACCAAGTAAAGCTGGAATAAGTATATAAATTTTAGTTATTTCTTTAAATACATTTAATTCCTAAATAGAAATACTATAAAAAAAACATAGAGTTATAATTTTAATCAATACCTTAACACGTTCAAGAACTAATCCAGCCGCTACCATACCAAATCCTGCTATCATAAAAGGAACAAGAACTTGACATGTTACAATATACCATTTTTCTTCATTATGATCAAATATAGTTGATAATGTTGTTTTATTATATCGTGAACGATTCTCTATACAATACGAAAAAAATGAAATTTTACTTTTATATTATTATTATTTAACTTCACTATCATTTGAACTTATACCTGAGTCGAAATTATTATCATTTTTATTGACTATGTTTGATAATTCAATTCTATTAAAATAATTAAAAAGAAAGTATATGAAATTGAACGGAAAGTTAAATTTTGTTTTCGTACCATTTTCTTCTAGTGAACTGACAATAGTTTGTTCTTTTAATAAAAATAATTGCTAATATTGATTATCAGTTTCTTTCATCGATCATCAATACAAAAATAAAACAACTATTGTATATATCTATTGATATTATAAAACAAATTGACAACAAGCGCTACATGTTATTCATTTGGATAGAAGAATAATCTTCGAAAAATAAACTTATTATGTTTTCGAAAAAATATTTTTTTATAAATATTTTCTTAAGATCTTTTTTTCATCAGTTAAATAATAAAATTTTCGTTATCATTATATGATAACATTAAACGATAATAAACCTGTTCGGATACGATATAATGAACATAATTTTATTCTTGGAAAAATTCATGATATTGCTGCTGACAGAAATGGCGCGACTGATTGAACTTTGGGGGAGAGGGGGATGTAAAGTTATTTTTCAAGTTAGTGTGCTTGAAAAACAAAAGTTTCTTATGTTCATACTATTTATTTTTCCTCTTATCTAATATAGTTCGATTTAAATTACTATGTCAGAACACACAATAATGCAAATACAAGACATGTACAAAAAATATAAAAAGAACAATTTCTAAGATGGGTGACTGTGAGTGTAGTCAAAAGAGTTTTTATCATCACCCACACTCATACACATACCTAAAGCCACACCAACACTCGTAAAGAATTAGAAATGTAAATATGTCTGAGAAACTCATTTATACACATGCATATGCATGTGTATTACCTTATCAATCGGCTTTGTCCACTATGTTTTAATATTTACAGAGTTATTCTTTGTGCGTGCGCATGAGCAACTAAAAAACTGAATTAATTCCAAAATATGTGAACAAAATATTCTTGTATTTATTTATCGACTATTTTTTATGATTTCTTCGTTTACAATTTCAATAGTTTCTTTCACACTTTTGATATAAGGATGACCTGGAAGTAATGAACCTCGTTTGTTGTCCAGAGCACGCTCAAAATATGAGAGTGCTTTTGAATAGTCTTTCATGTTGTTATAAAAACTACTCATGCACCAATATGAAGCAGCGAAATCAGGATGATTTGAAGAAAGAGTTTTTTCACAAATTTTAAGTGCTTTTTCCTGAAATGAAAGTGCTTTCTGGTATTTTCACATGTTGTTATACATCAAACGGAAGTTGTTGTATGGGGTAGCCAAATCAGAATGATTTCTAGAAAGTTTCTCGATCAATTTTAAGTGCTTTTTCGTAATACAAAAGTGCTTTCCAGTACTCTCCCATGTTGTCATACGCGCTACCGATGTGATTGAACGAAGTAGCCAAATCAGGATGATTCGAAGCAAGAATTTTTTGTCGAATTTCAAGTGCTTTTTCGTAATAGGAAATTGCTTTTGAGTACTCTCCCATCTGACTATACACACTACCGATGTTGTTGTATGAAGTAATCAATGAAGGATGATCCGAAGGAAGAGTTTTTTCTTGAATTGGAAGTGCTTTTTCGTAATACAATATTGCTTTCGAGTACTCTCCCATATTGTCATACACGCCACCGATTTTGCTATATGAAATTGCCAAAATAGGATGATTTGAAGGAAGAGTTATTTCTCGAATTTTGACTGCTTTTTCTTGAGATGAAAGTGCTTTCGGGTACTCTCCCATTTTGTTATATACCAAACCGAGGTTGTTGTATGAAGTAGCCAAATCAGGATGATTCGAAGGAAGAGTTTTTTCCCGAATTCTAAGTGCTTTTTCGTAATATGAAATTGCTTTCGAGTACTGTCCTTTGTTGTCATACACACTACCGATGTTGTTGTATGAAGTAATCAATGAAGGATGATTTAAAGGAAGACTTTTTTCTTGAATCGGAAGTGCTTTTTCGTAATACAAAATTGCTTTCGAGTACTGTCCCATCTTGTTATACACGAAACCGAAGTTGTTGTATGAAGTAGCCAAATCAGGGTGATTTGAAGAAAAATTTTTTTGTCGAATTTCAAGTGTTTTTTCGTAAAATGAAAGTGCTTTCGGGTACTCTCTCATCTTGCTAAGTACACTACCGATGTTGTTGTATGAGGTAGCCAAATTAGGATGATTTGGAGGAAGAGTTTTTTGTTTAATTTCAAGTGCTTTTTCGTGATATAAAATTGCTTTCGAGTACTCTCCCATATTGTTATACACCGAACCGATGTTATTGAATGAAGTAGCCAAATCAGGATGATTCGAAGGAAAACAATTTTGCCGAATTTCAAGTGCTTTTTCGTAAAATGAAATTGCTGTCGAGTACTGCCCCATCTTGTTATACACACTACCGATGTTGTTGTATGAAGTAGCCAAATCAGGGTGATTTGAAAGATGAGTTTTTTGTCGAATTTCAAGTGTTTTTTCGTAAAATGAAAGAGCTTTCGAGTACTCTCCCATGGTGTCATACACACCACCGATGTTGTTGTATGAGATTGCCAAATTTGGATGATTTGTAGGAATAGGTTTTTGTTGAATTTTAAGTGTTTGTTCGAAATACCAAATAGCCTTTTCATAATCGGCTTGATTCCAATAGATATATCCCAGCTGATTATAACAATGCGCTTTTTGAGTCTCGTCAGATGTCTGTTCGAGCAATATGTTATAAAGCTCTTCACCTTTGTTAAACTGACCGATTTTAAGCAATAAGTTACCCAGTCTATGCCATCCAGTACCACCACCAGCTTCTTCTCGTATCCAATCAGTAACTAATCGTAATTGTTGATCATCATCGGATGTTAATTGTAATTCAACTTGATAAAGTTTATTCTCATTGCTGATTTGTTCTATCGCATGCACCCGGAAGACGGTATGCATTGAGAAGAGAATTTCGTCTTCCTGTTTAAAATAACTCACCCCTTTGATGGAGGCAAATGGTGCTGATTTAATACAAGGATCAATGGCCATTATGAAAAGAACTCCCACCTTATTTGATATTGTTGAAGCACTTTGAACATAACCCAGGGACACATCTTTATCTGTACTGGTGGACAAGAAATTGTTAAACGACATTAGCCCACCTTTTGTTTTCTGAAGTTTTTCGAAGTCTGATTTCATTAAACCTTGTCCTCGATAAACTACGAAAGATTTTCTTCCATACGTACTGATTTGTTGTTCGTAGAGCTGTTGAATTTGTTGATGCAAATCACGTAGAAAAAATCCCATAGTAATAACTATATCGGCGTCCAATGTTCGAAGACCATAATTGAGCATAAAAAAGATGTTGCATGGGAAAGTATACCACCAAATAGCTAATTGAGCATGGTATTCTTTCTCAAAACGGTCAATATTGGTTGATGACACGCTGTTGTTATTTCGACAATAAGCAATAAACTGTTTAATGGCTTGTTTGTCATGTTCCATATCAAGGAGAATTTCCTTGAATATCTTCGTATACATGAAATTTGGGTCCAACCGATTCAAATTATCAGCTAACTTTATGTCATCTACTGTGATGAAGCTCATGGCAATCGAATCTTGATTGCATTTCTTGATACTCGATTTTAATGCTTTGTATAAGCCATCCATGTTGGCATGAATATTCTCGATTTTTCGCCTTTTTTTTGTCGGTTCTTCATGTAAGAATTCGATGTCACTGAAGACATGAGTACCATTCAGTTGAAGGACATCATGAATGAGGGGCATTATTTGTTGTGCCGTAGCATTCTCTACAACGAGAAAGGCCTTGATGTCTTCACCATCTGTAAGAAAGTCGATGCATTCGTCTCGATGTTTAAAGACGCTCACATTGTCGATGATGGTTCGTATTCGTATCAAAGTGTTTTCGTAATCTTTGTTTGTTTGATCCATACGCTCATCTAACCAGAGGAGTGAATAATTTTGAACTATCCGTCGCCTTGGTTGAACAATATCCGATGATGCTACTGTCGTGTTATTGTTACTTATGAGTGTATTTGATGAAGAAGCTTTTCGATTTGATTCTAATCCATTCATTTTGTCCTTATTATTATTTGATGTTGAATATAAGCGTGCCAATAACTGTTGTTGTCTAAATAGTAGCAGAACTTATCGCTCTTATTTATAATGGCAATGGCGTATTGTTTCTGTTTTTTTTAGTATATAAAATGTATGTAGTTTTGTCAAGATTCGAAGAGTAACTTCGACTAGTTACCTTTTAAAATACTATTATGAAGAGTAAGAGACAGAACAAAGCAAATAACTTTTTAAACAGCGCTCGCGATAGAACAAATAAATTAGACGGCAACGAAATGATTTCGTTTTATAGTTATTCTTTTCAAATTTCTCTTGTCTTCATCTGCGCAATTACTTTAGTATGCCAATACGCGTGCGGCACTTTGTCATTTAAATGGACGAGAAAAAGAAATATGATTTCAGAATATCGTTGGAAGAGTGTTGTTTTCTGTTACAAAAAGAAAAGTTTCTTATACGAATATATTTAAATGAGTTGTATTGTAAATATTTTTTAAAAAGCACAAAAATATTAAGAAATGTTTTCATGATTTGAGCATTGAATACTATTGTTGAACAAAAAAAGAAATGATTCTGGATTCATAAAGGTAAAAATGACTGTTTCCGCTATTGATAGCAATTCAAAAAAAATTAGTTTTCTTCAAAAAAGAAGAGGTGCTCAAGAACTATATATTTTATATGAGAACTCTGCGAGGTATTCAGGTGAAAGTTTGTTTTCGTATTATATAAAACAACGAATTTATAAAATAATCTCTTTATTAAGTTATGTGCTATTCATTTTTTTGTATAGCAAGACAACTATTTTAACACAACATGAATGGTTTTGTTATAATACACAGTATATGACTATGAGATTGACTGAAGACGGTCAGTTTCTAATAATTTTTATTATTAAAGTTTTCTTCTCTCTATTACTGCATAGTCTGAGAGCATTTTATCTTAAAAACTGTTTATTATCATTTTAGATAAATTTATTATCGTAACTTAACTCTATGTGCACATGTTTTTTTTCTATTATCTTACTTTGTTTTTATTTGGGTCAGTTTATAAGTGTAATATTCAGTTGTCTTGTCGTCTAATATAATGAAGATATACTACATAGTCGCATCTCTCTTTACCATTTATTTCATCCAAGGAATTGTAAGTATTATTAGTATAGATATATTGAGAATGCATAAAAACTATCAATCTATTAAGATTAGTGAACAATGTTTAAGTGATCAATGGCCACCAAAACCTGATCGAGCTTTACCAACATATGTTGTTAATTTAGATGCACCACCTGTTGAACGTTGGAAAGATATTGTTGCTAATTACAAAGATGAAGTAAGATAAATGTTATTTTGTATCACTATAATTATATATATTTCTTAGCTTAATGATTTACTTGCATATATGAAAACATTCATCGTTGAAATTTCACCTGAACTTAAATTTTTAATTGATCTTGTTGATACAAAATTGGTAAGTTTCTTATTATAAATTAACAAATTTTAGTATCTCTTAACTAATAAATAACAATAGCCAGCCATGGCTGATACATTACCTGCACCATATGGTGATGAAATAAAAGGAATTAGTCAAGGATCTGGACTACCTCTTGGCGAAGTAGTCCTGTATAATGTTTTCTATGAAGTTTCATCGTTTTGTACATCTGTTGTGGGACAAGATCAAGATGGAAATATTTTTCATGGACGTAATCTTGACTTTGGAGGAATGATGGGGTAAATGAAATATCCATACTTTTGTTTTCCTAAATCAATATATATTCTAGTTGGGATAAAATCAATCATACTTGGGCATTAACAGAAAAATTACGTCCTCTAATGGTTCAAATTAATTATACACAAAATGGTCAAGTTCTTTTCAAAACAACCACGTTTCTTGGGTAAAAATTCAATTATATCATTTTCTTAAATTATTTTTTTTTCCAGTTATATTGGTTCATTAACGGGTATCAAACCAGGTGTATTTAGCATTTCAATCAATGAACGTAATGCTCTTAAAGGTGGTTATATTGGATTAATTGAATGGATCTATAATATCAATCGTAATCAATCATTTATTACATTTGCTATTCGTGATATGCTCACGAAATCTGAAAGTTATGATCAATCAGTAAAATATCTAGCTGAAGTTCCATTATTAGCTCCATGTTATTATATAATTGCTGGTCCAAAATCTGGACAAGTAAGAAAATGAACGATTATCTTTCTTTTTCTAAAATTTCTATTCAAGGGTGTCATAATAACTCGTTCACGTAATGGTTCCGATGATATCAAACCATTAGGTAAAGATAATCTTTGGTTTCTAGCTCAAACTAATTATGACAATTGGAAGAAACAACCCATATATGATGATCGATTGACACCATGTATTAAATGTATGCAAGCAAAAGGCAAAAATCAAGTTACATTTGAATCTTTATTTAATGTACTTTCTTCACGTCCAATGTTAAACAAAGTAAAATATTTTCTCTCTCATCAAAAATCTTCTTACAATTGTATTCTTATTCTAGATGACAGTATATACATCATTGATGAAACCAGCAACAGGTCAATTTGAAGCCTATTGGCAATTATGCCTCGATGAAGAAGCTTCATGTCGACCTTGGTAAATTGATTTTTATTATGCAATTAATCTATTAAAAACTTCTTTTTTTTAATATTATAAAATAAAAATTGAATAAAATAATAAATAAGATTCATGAATTTTAATTGTATACGTAGGTGTTTGTTTTCTTATACATAAATATCCGTTCTTTTTATTATTTCTATCATCTATTGTCTGAGTAGGAACATAGCATACACTCAATCGAACGAAGTAGGTGTTCGTATATATTTATCTTGTAGTTGATTATGAATAAAATTGATATAACTATTTGGATTTTACTAATTATTCCAAATATTGTAAGTCTTTTGAAGAATTTAGCATAAAAAAAATTCGATCGGTTTAAGTATGCATACCAATGTTTAACTGATCAATGGCCACCAAAATCGAAATCAAATATACCTACATATGTCATTGATTTGGATACACCACCTTTGCAACGTTGGAATCAAATTGTTACTTTATACAAATCGCAAGTAATAAAAATTCTTTCTTTCGTATTTTGCTCTTTTATTTATTAATATCGATTAGATCAGAGATGTACTAGATTATACAAAACATTTCATTGTTAATACATGGCCAGTATTCACATTTCTTATTGATATTATGCATACTAAATTAGTAATAAATATCTGAATTTGTTTTTAATAATTGTAATACTATTAATCTTCAGCCATTGATAGCTGATACATTACCAGAACCATATGGTCAAGAATTAAAAGGTATTAGTCAAGCAAGTGGAATATCATTAGGTGAAATTATTTTCTACAATATTTTCTATGAAATATCATCCTTATGTACTTCCATTGTAACACAAGATCAAAATGGATATATTATACATGGACGAAATCTTGATTTTGGACTTTTATTAGGGTATATGACGAAAAGAAACTTTTATTGTACTTATTCATGTATATTTTAGTTGGGATAAAGTTAATAAAAGTTGGATATTAACTAATGAATTGCGTCCATTAGTAATCGCCATTAATTATACAAAAAATGGTGAGATTCGTTTTCAAACAATCAGTTTTGCTGGGTAAAGATGATTAGTTTAGAGATTATTAATAAATTTATTTATTTAGATTTATTGGTGCAGTTACTGGGATTAAACCAGGCAGATTTAGTATTACATTAAATACACGTTTTGATCTTAACGGTGGTTATATTGGTATAATCGAATGGATTTATAATTTTGATCGTCAACAATCATTTGTAACATTAGCTATACGTGATATGTTAACAGGAGCAGAAAATTATGATGAAGCTGTTGAATATTTATCTAAAATTCCATTATTAGCTCCATGTTATTATATTATTTCTGGAATAAAACCTGGACAAGTAGATCAAATATTTTATTTTTTTTATCAATATTTTTTATATATTAATAGGGTGTTATTATCTCTCGATCACGTCAAACTTCTGTTAATATTAAAACATTAAATACTAATAATCAATGGTATCTTATTCAAACAAATTATGATAATTGGAGAAAACAACCTTCAATAGATGATCGACTAACACCAGCAATTCAATGTATTGAAACAAAAGGAAAAAATAATACTAATTTTGAATCATTATTTAATCTTCTTTCATCACAACCTATGCTGAATAAAGTAGCTATTTGTGTCTTTTTTCAATAACTATACATTTTTTTCTTTAGTTAACAATTTATACAACATTAATGAAACCATCGACAGGACAGCTAGAATCATATATTCAAGATTGTCATGATGAAGATATACCTTGTATACCTTGGTAGCTGATTAACTTTCATTTCATAGTCTCAAACTTTGATTTTATTTAACATATCTATAATCTCATCATTTAGCAAAACCATATTTATTAATAAGATATAATCCTTGAAAACATACTAAATAAAATAAACTGTTCGATTTTATCTTTTATTCTTGTTTTCATTTTATGCCGATTTTATTTCATAAAACTGTGTTTTTTTTTTCAACTGAAAAATCAATTAATTTAAACATGTTGTCGTTTTTTCCAGGCGGCAAGTGGACCATGATTAGGTAAATACTTAACATTGGCACCGTCATATTGTAATTGGCCTAATTGAAATAAACGATCATAATCTTCACGTGTAAATTTTGTGAAACCCCATTTATCCGAAACGAAGATTTTTTGACGACCTGGAAATTTGAATTTAGCACGACGTAAAGCTTCAACTGTTTGTGCTTTATGTTGATCTTTAACACGAGCTGACATAATAACTTGACCGATGTTGACACGAGCAACTGTACCTAATGGTTTACCAAAAGCACCGCGCATACCTGTTTGTAAACGATCGGCACCGGCACATGATAACATTTTATTAATTCGAATAACATGAAATGGATGAACACGCATTCGTATATGAAATGCATCTTTACCACAGTGTTTGACTAAATATTTATTAGCACAAATACGTCCAGCTTCAAGTGCTTCACTGGATAATTGTTCATATTCATCGGATACAAGGTGAACACATAATGGAAATTCATCGACACGTGCTCGTTTTCGTCCTAAATCAAAAATACGAATTTTTGGATCAGGGACACCACGACAAAACCGAGATTTTGGCTAATATAAAAATACAACAATAGAATTTTTAATTTGATTCAAATAATAGAACTTACATATGGCTTGTTTTTGCAATAACGATAGCATCGTGCTGGTCGTCGACCCATTTTTTATAATTGATCTTTAAAGAAGAAGAAAAAAAAATCAACAATGAGAATAATTAGTTTCAAATGATTTTTCTATTTGAAAAAAAAAAACATAAATAAAAACAAAATTGTAGTAGAAGATACTGCTTCATCTTGTCTGGTTAAGGTTATATGACTCTATTCTCTTCTCCACCATCATGATGAAATTGTATATAATATAACACACTGAAGCAGATCAATTCGAAATAAAATTTCTTCATCATAAAGGTTAAAATTTGAATTTCTATTGGTTCTTATTATTAATTTTCGAATGTTTCATATGTTTTAAATCAATCTATTATAATACATATTTTATTTATACTATCAATTAACAAATCATATTCTTAATATCATTAATTCACAATCATTATTGGAAAAAAACTTTTAACCAATCAGATTTAATCAATCATGAGTCATAATCTGTTGTACTTTTTATCAATATCTTAATTTAGTTATTTCAACAGACCTCGTGTTTTATAAAAAAATTGCGAAATTCTCAATTAATATACTATACATAATTGTATCTTGATGTCGACTACGTAATCTAACACTTTACTAACCTTTCTTTTTCGTATAGAGGTGAATATTTGTTTATTAGAAACGAAATATGATAGATATATTTGTTTTGTTTTTTATATAGTTATATTTCATCTTAGAATCAACAATCATATGGCTAGTCCGGGTGAAACTAAAACTACTAGTGATAGTCAACAAGAAGAAATTAGTGCGTTACGTGATTATTTTAAAGATAATATTCGTATTTTATCTTCTATTGGACAATTCTCCTATATTCTAAAAATTCGAACTGATCAATATGACGTTTCATTAACTTTACAGTTAGATGGTAAATATTGAAAAAAACAATATATATATATTTATTTCTACATTATAGAATCTTACCCATCGAAAGCACCGGAAATAATTATAACTGCACCTCGATTAACTGCTGAACAAGTTTTACTTGTTCAACAACTTCTTCAATCATATAGCAAAACAATACTTAATCAACCAATGGTTTTATTAATTTATTCTCGTTTACTTCAATGGTTTGCTGAAAATAATATTCAAACATTAAATGCTAATTCAAATAATAATAATAATACTACTACAAATTCATCAAATACTTCTGCTTCACGTTCACCACCACATTCATTAATATCAAATCAAAATCAGAATAAAACTACTCAATCCGATGAACCTATTAAAAAAACTTCGATGAAAACGTCGGAAGATGTTATATCACGTATTGAATGGGATACTCGTCTTGATAAACGTTATTTTCGTGTTGGTTATATCGATCGTTTTCTTGGTTTACAAGAAAAATCCTTTAATGATTTTGATTTTCAAGTTGATCTATCAACAGTTAGTGATCGACATTCAAATGTTCTTGCTATACCTAAACATCGTATTCAATATTTTAAATATAATAATGAAATTATTTGGGATAAAGAAACGCGAACTGATTTAGTATTTGGTTCAACTGGAAATCAACAAACAGTTTATGATGTTATAGCAAGACATGAAAGTCTTATGGAAAATAATTATACACCTTCGTAGGTTTACAGGGGGTGGTCGAAAAATCATTAATTTTAATGCACGCTAGAAATGCCATAATACGAAAGTCCTTGTCACCTAGATCACGAATCTGATACTGAGTAGTTCCATGGGATGTCAAACATAAAATACACAAATTATTCAGAAAATTGTCTTTCCCCCCAAACTTTGTAGAGCTTTTTCCGCTGATCATTTTCGTATAAGGAAGTTTTGAATTCTATCGAGGAATGACGACGCTATCGTCAAAATAAAAAACATAGTAAAATAGCTTAAAATCCCATTTTTCCTTGTAAAATATGACATAGTAGGTTTTGTAGAGAAAACTGTGCTCTATAAAACCTACTATGTCACATGTCTTCGGAATATGGCCGATTCGAGATTAGGGACTCGACTTTTTCCTATATTTCATAAGATAAAAAACGGATTTTTACTAGATTTTTTATTTTGACGATAGCGTCGTCATTTCTCGATAGAATCCAAAACTTCCTTATACGAAAATGATCAGCGGGAAAAGCTCTACAAAATTTGAGGAGAAAGAAAATTTTCTGAATAATTTGTGTATTTTATGTTTGACATCCCATGGAACTACCCAATACCAGACTCAGGTCATTTCTAGCGTGCATTAAAATTAATGATTTTTCGACCACCCCCTTTATTTTAAATATTCATTATTTTTTCTCTTTATATCAATTAGAACATCTGACAATGATAATATAATCGAAGACGGAGATATATCAACTCCTTTACCACGTTATTTAACATTAACTGATGGTGCATATAAACCAAATTATTATCTTTCAATACCGATTAGTGATTCAACTGTTATTAAAAATTATATATCATATCGTGATCATTTACTTTCATCTTATCCAACATGTTTTTCTTTACGTACAAATTCATCCGACGATCCACCTCATCTTCATCTGACATTATTAACATTATATATTGAATCAAAGTCTGATATTGATCAATGTATTTTAGCATTAAAACAAATTCGAGAAGAAATTCATTATCATTGTTCATATCCTGAACATATATGTTTAGAATTTGATGGTATTGAAACATTCTATGATAAAGTTTTATATGTTAAATGTAAACAAAATCAACGTTTAGAAAATTTACGTACATTAATACTTGAACGTTTGTCTGAACAACAACAAAAACAAAAATTATCAAATATTTTTTTTGCTGGAAATTATTATGAATTTATTCCACATATAACATTATTAAAATGTAAACGAAAATTTTCTTCAATATGTCAAAATGAATCCAAAGAAATTTCATTTGGTAAACAAACAATTAATTCATTACAATTATGTTCAATTGGTCAAAATGAACAGGAGGATACTAATTGTGTATTTAAACTTGATTTGAGTTAAATTTCTTTTTCACTATACACTTCGTTTTTCTTTTTCAAAATTCTAATGATGAGTTAATATCTAGGATAGACACAGTATATCTTCATCATTTTATTACTAAGTGTAAATAAAATATCTTTCAAATCAATCGTATATGTATACGTTAATATTTTTGTCTTGTTCTTTCTTCTTCTTCTTCTTCTTCTTCTTTTTTTAATTTTATTTCATTCTTTATATTTATCTTCATGCTATATGATGAATGATGATTGAAATTTTATTGTTTTTTTTTCTGAACAACAAAAGAGAAAAAAAAGGATTTTATTGATTTTATAGAAAAAAAAAAAGCAATGGGAGTACAAAATTTTTGGCAATTAATTGAATCAACCGGTCGACCGGTTAATATGAATAAAGGTTTAGAAGGAAAAATATTAGCAATTGGTAAGATTATTATTTTTTTGTTAAAAAAGAAAACAAAATACAATAATCTTACATTTATGTAAATATATATGTATACTTCTTTCAAACAGATATTAGTATTTGGTTACATCAAGCGGCTAAAGGCATGCGTGATAGACAAAATCCACATATACTTTTATTATTACATCGTATTTGTAAATTATTACATTTTAAAATTAAACCAATATTTATTTTTGATGGTGGAGTACCTGAATTAAAACGACGAACACTTGTAAGTCAAAATATTGAAAATATAGAAGTATTGTTTCTATTTTGTATTTTGGGCTGAACGACGGCAACGACGAGATGTAGCTGCAACAAAAGCAAAAGAAGCAAAGAATAAAATACGAACAAATTATTTAAAAATGTTAGCTATTCAACAATTGAAAGGCGAAGAAAGTGAGTATTTATCAAATTGTAATAGATCGAACTGTAATATCAGATTTAATCTGAGTTGAGGGTGAACATAGATCATATTTTTGACTTAAAATCCAAAAGCAGGGAAGGCGCACCCAGCCCTCGGTATCCTCATGTCAAACTTTATCTTTCGTAGCCTTCAGTTCAAATCTAGTAATCAAAAGAATGATAAATCCTTGCTATTTATAGATAATACGGTATAAAATCAATTCTCTAAGTTTTTAGTTGAATCATTACCACCAATACCAACTGATGATCAAGAAAAAGATTTATTTGAATTACCAGATACGCATTTACGCTCACAATTAGTCGATGATGATGACAATGATATTGAGTATGCTCGTTTGAATTGAATAAATAAATCTAATTATTTATTTTGATAGAGGAGACGGTGATGATATTATAGAAAATACTGAACTTGAACCAGTAGTTAAACTTAAAAAACAACGGACGACTTGGTCAAGAAAACGACCAGATTCTAATACGAATTATCATTATGTTCTACCTAAGGTTAGTTATTTTTATTTCATATTATAAATTTTTCAAAATATCTATTTTATAGTTTAGCGATTTGGATGATAGTGCACTTAATAATTTACCCGTTGAAATGCAACATGAAATTCTAGTAAAATAATAATAAGAAGAAAAATCTTATTTCTATATGAATACTTTCTATTTCATTAGAGTGATATGAAAGAAGGTCTTAAACGTGGTCGACATCAAGTTGAAGATATGCCTCAAGTATATTTATACAATTTCATCTAGAAAGAAAAATTCCTTCATTTTATTTTTCATATAGAAAAGTGATGATTTTTCAGATTATCAAGTACAAAAATTACTTAAACAAAGTTTGGTTTCACAAAAAATTTTTAACCTTAATAAAGCTATGAAACGACAAAAATTTGGTAGAAAACAAAACATTTATCCTATACTTCTTATCCTATAGAAAATTATTTCTATGTAGATATTCCAACAGAATCAAATGCTAAAGTTTATGCAGGTAAATTAGCATCAGATGCTAGTACACAATATATTCTTATTAAATCTGATACTGCACAAAAACCTACACCGGCAAATTTATCAACAATTTCATCAACATCATCGTTAAATTCATCGTTTAGTCGTCAATCAACTAGTGATTTTTGTGCTGACAATATGATGAATCGAGATCCTTGTAGTGCATTTACACAACGACGTAGTACAACCATTGAAACTGATTCTATAATTCCTACTAATATTCATGAATCATCACCTATTAAAGAACAATCAATAACGACAGATGCAAGCCAATCTCAATTAAAAGAATCACCAATTCAGAGAGAAACTCATTTTGAATTAAAAAAACGAACTCCAATAGAAAAATCAATTATTCAAAGAACTTCTTATGAAGAAGATATTGATTTAGAATTAGCTATTCAAAGATCATTAGAAGATCAACAAGATTCGATTATAAAAGAAAATAATGATATTTCAAATATAGTTGAATCTTCATCAGATTCCGATGGTATATTAAATAATTAAACAAATAAAAATATATTCTTTCTTTCTTTCGATAGAATCTGATTTTATCGATGTACCAGTATTACCAAAACAACGTGAACCAATCATTCTTCCACAATTCGAAAATGATGAAAGTCATGATAGAATCGAAACAAGTCATAATACTACATCATCAGAATTTATTGAACTTGATAATGATAATGAAACTAGTCATAGTAGTAGTGCAGCTATTGATGATATTAAAATGTATATTGAAGATAATAGAGAAGAATCATCAGTAGCCGATGTAGAAGATACTAAAGAATCATCATTTTCTCAATTAGTAAGAAAAATATTATTTGAATTCGAAAAAAGAAACATAATTTTTGATTTCTTAGGAATCATTAGAGCAACTTCAAGCAGAATTAATCGATGATACAGCTGCTCAATTAACAACAGCTCGTGGTAATGAACGTTTAACTGCAACATTAACAGATACTATGCATGAAGATACACAAGTAATAAAATAAGCTCTTATTAGATTATTTATTTATTTTCTTTATTAGTATTTACTTCGTTTATTTGGCATTCCATATCTTGTAAGTCCAACAGAAGCTGAAGCACAATGTGCTTATTTAGATTTATCAAATCAATGTGATGGAGTTATAACAGATGATAGTGATGTTTGGTTATTTGGTTCATCACATGTTTATCGACATTTTTTTCGTCAAGATCAATTAGTAGAATATTATGATGGGACAATAATTTTAAATCAATTAGGTTTAGATCGAGAATCAATGATTGCAGTTGGTATGATTGTTGGTTCAGATTATACGAAAGGTATTCCAAATGCTGGTATTATGACAGCATTAGAAATTCTTCAAGAATTTCATGGAACGTGCATGGAACGATTAGAAAAATTTCGGTAAATATTTTCTTTCAAAATATTTCAAATATCTTTTATTTATTTATTTATTTAGACGTTGGTGGAAAAAAGCACAAAAATCAGATTATAAAACTGAGTCAAAAGTATTGAAACGTTTGAAAAATTTAGAACTTTTTGAAGGTAAAATTTTATTCTTAGTAAGGAAATATCATTTGATCTAATTTAAATACGTCGGTACTTCTCGACAAGACTTTAAAAAAAAAATCAAATTATTATTATTATTTATAATAGAAGAGACAAATCTATATTAAATCAGTTCCATGAATACTTGAAGGTATTAACTGATATTCTCCAATCCTTCGAGCTTTCAAACTTTTTCTCCCATTGGTCCTAGAACTAATTTCAGTATTCTTTCTTTTCATATATTATTATTTCCCTATATACTGTAAAGGAAATCGAAGGTTGATTTAGGTTTTCCAAACAAAGCTATCTATGATGCGTATATTAAACCAAAAATCGATTATGATCAAACAAAATTTACATGGGCAATGCCACAACTTGAATTGATTCGAGAGTATATTAATTATTTAGTTTTTTTCTTATTAATATTTGATCTATTATTATTATAGATTTATTGGAACTAAACTTAAATGGGATCGACGAAAAATTGATGATATGATTTTACCAGTAATTAAACGAATGAATACAAAAGAAGTTTGTTCTTATTTTATATTTTTCTTCTAACTGATTTCTTAATCAATGTAAATTAGATTCAATCACGAATTGATTCATTTTTTGCTCCATATGCATTTGAAAATAATTCAAAATCATATAGAAAAAATACACGATTACAATCTGCAATTAATTTACTCAAAGAAAGAACTCAAGAAGCAAAAGATACTCCGTTAGAAAATGAGAATAATGATGATGAAGATGAAGATGATAACATTCCAATTCCAGAAAAACAACCAATAAAAAAAAGAAAACGAACAAAAAATACAAAATTAATGAATAATGTATTAGATACTGCAAACAAAACAAATCGAAGATCAAAAAAGAAAATAACTATTACTTCTCCTGTCTTATCAGATGATGATGATAATTCATAATTTCTCTATTTCCTAATCAAGCAAAACATTTTTGTTGTATATACCGAAAAATGTCAAATAAAATAAATATTAACTAGGAGAACGAATATCATAATATGAAGATATTTGATTATAATAATTCGAAATAATACTATTTGAGTTTGTTGATAATGTATCATTTGATTCAAGATAAATATCTGATGATATGATTTCATATGAACCGTTACTGGATATTGAAATATTTTTTGAAATAGTTGATATTGGTGTTAAATAGAAATGTTTTTCCGATATTTTTTGTTGATAATACAATCGAATAAAAATAAATAATGATATAAGAATAATTGTAATAAGAAAAACAAACATGGAATTAATTAATATAAAATGAGGATTTATTTGTTGTTGAATAGATGAACAAGTGAAGTGAAGAATAGTTTTTGATTTAAATATTGAAATAGGAAGAGGCGGAGGTGGTGGGAGAGTAAATTGGGGTGGCGGTGGAAGTTGAAACATGATTTCGTTTGTTTTCTATTAATTATAATCAAGATTGAATATATATGTAGCTTGTACAAAAATAATTCGATTTACCTATGTATCAATAAAACATGTACTTTACAATCGTAATTCATATGACGTTGTAGAACAGATCAAACGATAAGAGAAACTGTGGTCATTCATATGTTCAAGTTAAAATGAGAGAAAAAGTGATTGATTATAAAATCAATCTATGATGAATTTCTTGTAGACTTTCTTATTATTGAATCATATATGTATATATGCCTTTTTCTTTATCGCGATGAAAATTTATTACATAATCAGAGATATTGATATGTGTTTAATTCATAGCGATTAATTGATAATTATTAGCAATCGATATTTGATATGATCTCGAGAAGACATAAAAGATTTGATTTAAATAGTCATATTTAACACAAGAGGAAATGCTAAATCTGTTTTCCTAATAATTCTCCGAGTATTACTTCTTTTATCACGTATATTATGAAGAATTACGTTGTTGAAAAAGTAATTATTATGAACCTTCAATACAATTTTTCATTGTCATCTGTAATAAGATAATGGAACGCTATGATATTCTTGTGAAATAGAAGATTTCTTAGATGCACTTTTCTTATTATCAGAAATTTTATGCAAGGTTACCTTCGATAGAATACTATGATTTATATAATAGAAGACAACGACGACATTTTTCTGCAGTATGCATATTTCTTTTATGATAAGGATACTTCTCTCTAGAGTAAAACTAATCTTATGAACAAGAAAAATTGGTATTCAAACAATTAGAGACATCTTCTCGAAATATTTATTTGTATATAGTAAGATACAAGTATTGCAATATGATATTATTTCTTTAAAAATAATTTATATTAAAATGATTTTTCTACTAAAATTATAAATCTACTTTAAAAAATATCTCATTAGTCTATTCCAAACAACCAATGAAAATTATTTCGAATAAATAGCAGCTGATAGATATATATCGTTTGTTTAGCTTTTTTTTTTACTTTGTACTTAAAATATCCATTATTGTATAGAAGTGTTTAGAAATTTCTTTTATCTCTATCATATATATATTTTAAATAGTATTTTGAACAGTTATATATCTCTCGTATTTTTTTATTTATAAAAGTTTTGCGACCTCTGTGCAATAAATATTTAATATCGAAGAATTTTATCTATTAAATATTTCAGATTTGTATAGTCGTAGTTTATTTTCTTCTCATTTTTTTCTATTATTTTATTTCTCATTTTCTTGTTTGTCTTTCATCGTTTTCTTTTTTTTGTGTCTATTTCTGTCTAAATGACATCTGTACCAACTGAATTATATCATCATCATCATGGTAAGAATAATTCTAATAGAAAGAACTTTCCTTGTATGTTTTATTCAATTAGATCATTATCAACAAGGAACAAATAGTAAATTATTAACAACATCAATGAATACTATAAATACAAATGATGATATGATTCAAATAAAAGCACAACGTGAATTGGGTATTATCGAAAAACTTTGTTCAACTTATGGTTTTGTTTATTGTTGTCATCGTGATGGACGTTATTTTTTTCACTTTAGTGAATATAAAAATGATATTCATCAAGCAAAAATAGGAGGTAATAGAGAAAATAGGATTAAAAATTTGGATTAATTTTCTTTTTTTTTCAAAAATAGATGTAGTCGAATTTGAAACAACAATTGATAAACGAAAAAAGAAACCAGTTGCTGTTAATATTACACCAGCTAATTCAGAAATTATTGGAGAAAATCGTGTTGACGGTACTATTGCAGTAGTTGCTCGACAACAAGCTTTACAACACAATGGCGTAATTAAAAATCATATTTTTTCTTCTGTTTTTCATTAAATAAATAATTAATATTTAGTTTCCTCAATTTGATTTTATGCCAGATGGTAAAGTAACCTATGTAAAAAAAGGTGAAACATATTTTCTACCTTATGGTCTTACTGATCTTCAAGAACCAACAATTCCAGTTAAAGTTGGAGATCAAGTTAGTATTTAATCCCTAAAAAAACAAAACAATTATTTTATTTTGCATATAAACAGGTATCATTCAATGTTGGTCAAGATCGTCGTACAAATCAATTTTTTGCACGAAATGTTGCGCTTATCGAAAAATCTATTCCATCACAAACGCTATCAAATACCAAACGTTTTCGCGGTGTTATATCAACAATGAAAGATAGTTTTGGTTTTATTGAACGTGAAGATGCATTAAAAGAAATATTTTTTCATATAACGGAATTTGGTCCTAATGTTGCAACAAATACGATTCAACCAGGTATAGAAGTTGAATTTGATATACAAGATCGACATGTAAGTTATAAGAAAATATCACAAATGAAGTTAATCATAATTCGACATTTTATTTAGAATAAAGAAGTAGCATGTAATATAATTATATTACCAAAAGGTACAGTCGAATTCGATGAAATTGATAAAGCTCCTTATATTGGTCGTATATTACAACCATTAAAAAGCAAAAAGGTAGATGATACATTAACTGGTCGTTTATTGTACGATGCAATGGATAAGTAAGAATTATTTATTTGAATTCGACTTATTTTTGTCTACATGTTTGAATTTAATAGAAAAATGTCGGAATTACCATTTGGTGAACGTGATCGTTGTGGTTTATATACATTACTTGAAAATGATATTGTTCAATTTGTTATTGCTAAAGATAAACGTGATGGCATGATGCGTGCTACACAAATAGCATTACTTGATCAAAGTTTTCTTAAATCAAAAGAACAACGACAAATGGTAAATAAGTTTTTATAAACAAAAATAAATCCATTTTTATGTTTTTGTTATCTTTAGGGTATTGTTATTAAACTCGATAATACAACAGGTGGTCAAATAAAATGTTTATCATTGGATCAAATTGTATCATTTCGATTTAGTGAAGTTATGAAAGATAATTTTCAAATAAGTGAAGGTGATCCATTAGAATTTACATTGTCTGCAAATACAAATAATGGAGTTTGTTCAAAATAATTCTTCATTGATCTCTATTCAAATGATTATTTTTTAATTAGGATGTATCACAAGCTATTCGAATTAAATTAATATCAAAAGATAATTTAATGAATGGAAATGGGAATGAATTACGATTAACTGGTATTGTGGAACGTGATGCAAATGATAATCGAACAGGTATAAAGATCGAAAAAACAAATTTTTTTTCTAAAAATAATTTCATATAGAACGAAATGGTCGTTCGAATGAAATGTCAGATGCTAAACAACAAACAAATAGTAATGAGCCCGTAACTACACCTGTTCATCGTCAACAAGAACCAGGCATTATTCGTTATATATCTGATGGAATTGAATCTACAGTACAATATGTATCTACAAATCTCAGTAATACACCAACTTTATATTGTGGAGATAAAGTAAGACACTATTTTGATTTACACATCAATGATTTTGTTTCGTGATATATATTCAATATCAGTTTTCTATGAGTACTAAAATAAATTGAACTATAACGGAAGTTGATGAATGTTTAGCATCGAAAAGTTAAGTAACCATAAAAATATAAAGTTTATCGAGTGAATGACGATGAGTATTACACTGAAGTATAGTAAATAAAATACTTGATGTTTCATATATTCATATCTACAGTATCTAATTTACTTTTAAATTTTTAGGTTGAATTCTCTATGGCATCAGGTAATAAACTTGCTTCAAATATAATCTTATTGGAAAGACATCGTGCACATGGTTGGATTGCAATCGTTCGTGAAGGCAAAGGATTTATTGAACAAAGTGGTGCAACAGATAATATTGAACCAATTGCATTTTCTATGAATTCATTTTCAAGTGATAGTACACAAATTGATTTAGGCGATGAAGTTGAATTTAGTTTAAGAAAAGTCTCAGGTCGTTTAACAGCTGAAAATATTGTTAAAATACCATTGACTATAAATAATTTCTACGTAAATATATCGATCTATTTCAATTCGAAATATATAAATAAAGAATTTATTTTTATTTTATAGTCAATTCTTCCAACAGTTCATCGAGGTCGTGTTGTATCTCCTGTTCGAATGATAACAAATGATGATTGTGAAGTGTTAGGTCGTATACAAAAAATAGCAGATGATGGTATACCAGGTGAATGTTATACATTTAGTATAACTGGTATTAAAAATAAACGTGTAATTTTATTACCAAATGATCCAGTAACATTTTCTGTTGCCGTTGGACTTGATTATTCCAAACGTGCTATGAATATTGTTTTAGAAAATGAAACACGCAAAGGAAAAGTTGATACAGTTAAAGGACAGGTAAAAGAATTATTTAATTATTTTTTCAAAAATTAATAATACGGAAAATTTTAGTTTGGTTTTATTGATTTTGCATGTGAAGAAAATAAGAAAATCTTTTTTCATAATTCAGAAATCGAAGGTGGATTTGAATTACGAGCCGGTGATGAAGTGGAATTTTATGCTCAATATAATCTTAAAAGTGGCAAACCAT